CCCTTTTATGTTGAGCTACAGGTACACCTAAATTCGGAAAATGGGTAGTGACTGATGAACTGTTCAATTTGTTGGTTTACAATGGTTATGGTATTTGTCAGCTTCCTTGCCTAGTACACAGAAGAGGAAAGGAAGAATAGGCAAGAATAAGCTTGCAATATCCTAGCAGCTTGCTATGTATCAAATTTATGTAGTGGTCAAATCTCACACAGTCACACTTTACTTTTTTGAGATTTAACCATGCCTTTCAGCATAAGAGCATATCCATGCATGACCAATCTATTTGGAAGTTCACTTATTTCTCAACATGTTACAGTTTAAAGAGAAGGAAGTGTGATGTGGGGAAGCCAAATTTTAAGGAGCGACTATTAGGAGCTGCATGCTTACTATCACAGGTATTGATTTAGCTTTCTTTTCTTTGAGTCCTCATCTTTTTTTATGGATGTTGTTGCAATATGCACGTTATTATTTTTCTCATCTATATCAGTATCATCATGGGAACGTCATATTTATTTGTCCAATTTTGAATATGAATTAGAATTTTGTGCTGAATTTGTTTCAATGCAGAAACCCTAATAAAACCAATTCTTTTGAATCCGGGTTTATTATCTTAGGATTATTAATGGTTTTGTTTTTAGAGTTTCTTGCAATATATATTAAATCTTCACCTACTTCATGCTCATGTTGCCTTGCTTTATGCTTTGGGTGCATCATTAAGATAAATCTAGTTCTCAAGAAGCTTTGCTGAGTACTTGCACTGTATATTAGAGCTTAACCTACTTCCTATAATGCACACATTGACTTCATTGCCCTCCATTCACCATCTGCATCACTATGTTTATATGGAGTTCATTTACCTCATTGTTGTACATGTCTGCATCTTCATGTTGTTTCTTCCCTATATATATGTAATTATATGCTCTGTTTCTCTTGCAGATGGTTGAGCCAATGTTGAGAGCAGCAACGTATCCTTGGAGTTCCTTTAATTTGTTATTAAACTGGATATCACTCAAGTATTCGGCAGAAGTTCAAAAAGATTAACTTTGAAGCACAGTTAACATAATTTGCTTTGCAAAAACTGCAGTTTCCCAAAGCACATGCTTTAAACTATTTTCTGAAGACAGAATTTGTGATGAACTTTTAAAATCTCCATTAAAAGAATCTGATTTAATTATGTCCTTGGCAAGCTTCCAAGTATTATAATTGAAAATCCTGTGGAGATGCTTAATCTAGGTGCTAATTATGGAACATAATTCTTTTTGTTTCCTGAAACTTATAAATGTGAAAAGCTTGCAAAGTGTTATGTTTCCATTTAAATTTTCTGCAATTTTTTTTATCCTCTATTTCTGCATATGCATATTATTTTTCATCTCTAAAGAAGGTTTTCAGAATGTAGGTGACATAAATCCCCAGCTCAATAGTTTTCTAATTAGAAATTATCATTCTTTATTATTTTTGGGCATCCTTGACTAGTTGGCAGAGAGGTATCAACTTTGCTAGCTCGTTCATTCTTTATGGGATTTTCTCTGATGATTTTATCTCTCCTTGCACGCCTCCGGGTTTTGGTTCAACAAGTGAGTTCCAAACCTCTAATTCATTTTCTGTAACCCACTATGTACACTTGGATCAATTCAACAAGGTTTGTGCTTGGGAGTCCTATTCTAAATTCTGGATACCCTTAGAAGTGAAAAGTGGATTTTATATGAAAGGAGAGACCCTAATGTTTGAAAAATCAACATGATGGTAATAAGATGCCAGATTAAAAGCATATTTCTCACTGTCCTCAAAGAAATGACACTTTCTGCAGCTTAAATTACAAATATTTGTTGTAGTTGTTGTGAGCGTGAATTCAGCCTTCCTAATTATATTAACTGGCTTGTGTTTCTATTTCAGTTACTGCTTGACGTGGTTTCAGTATTCAATGCTGTCTCTTGTATCTCTCAAAAGAAGCAATCTGTAAAATTTAATCAGGAAGGAGTAGAGGTTGATCTCTTTTCAAGTTCAGAACTTTACTGATACCCTTTTGCTTAGATACACGTTAATAGCCCCTTTTCATTAACAATTATGCAGGTATATAGAGAGTATTATCCAAAAGAAGAAGAAGAATATGTCACCCTGGAGTGTGTATGGGAGACAGATAAGTTCAAATTAGTTGAGAAGACAGAGAAGTGTGAGATTAAAAGTGAAGAAGCAGCTATTGGAAAAGATGTTTCAGTAGGAGATACTGCTGTCCAGTACCAGAGTATCGAGTCTTTTCTTGAAGGTAAAAATGTCACTAATTCTTGAGGTTTTTTTTCTTCATATAAAACAAAAATTCTCACTGCCTTTGATAACTATGCAGAGACCTGTGGATGTGATGTTGTTTTGCAGCCTGCATCGAGCATTACTGCATATTCTCTATATGTTATGTACATAACTAAACTAGGTTTTGAAGTTGTGAGTTAGGCAAGAGGTGTAACCACAATCAGGAACTGAAACATTTAAAATAAATGATGTTTTCTGTAGTTCTTTTTAGAATTGACTCTAAATTAATAGCTAGTGGTGAATTGTGATCTTGGTCATGGGTTTTCTGATTCTAAAATTGCTTATTTTGGCTCATTTATCAGATCAAGGGCAATATGGAATTCAATTTTCATGTAATCATAGCTTGCTTAATCACATTTTAATCCCAACATTTTATGCAAATTTGTGCTTTGACATTTTTTTTAACTTAATCAGCATTTTTGCTTACATTTACCTAGTACAGATGATGAATCTCCTGAAAAGGCAGACGCAAGCTGTACAGCCAATGAAGGCTCAACTGATGTGAAGCCTAAGGATACCAATCCATCAACAAGCCCTGCCATTGAGGGTGGTGCAGAACCAAGTCCTTGTAAAAATCCACCGAGCACTTCCGTGACCTCGAGTAGTTCAAAGCTAATATCTGGTAAAAGAAAAGTGGCATTTGTCTCTGTTAAGAGACCAGCACCATCAGCACCTTCAACGACAAAACTACCTGATCTTCCCTCTAAGGAAGATGTGAACAGCAGCGGTGACAGAGTAGATCAATTTTATAAATTGCTTACTGGTGGAAACATAAAAGACAGTCTTTTCTGATGAACTCAACAACACTAGTTACTAGATGTCTAGTGTCAATTTCATTATGTTTTCTCAACAAAATCTCTGCAACATGCTGCAACTAAATTGCTTATTTATTTATTTATTTATTTTTTGGGTACCTTGAAGGGTTAGTTGCCTGCTATGATTAGAGTTTGAACTCTTGACATTAATCCCAAATTAAAATTTTTTAATTAGAAGATGCCAACTCTACCAAACTCTTGTTTTTTTTTTCTTAGTATTAATCTCTTGATATTCAGTAATCACATTGAGTCCTACTAATTTGAAATAGAGTTACATCAGATTCCACCAAAGAAAGCTCTTTCAATGTCTGTATCTTCAGTTATAAGATTTGAATTCGAGACTTTATTATTTCTTTTACTTGAATTAACAAGTCATTCATTTACCAAACTCTTGTTGGTTACTTGTTGATGTGATAGTTTGAGTGTCTAACAATAATTCCTAACAATCATTACATAACCATTAGAACAGTGTACAAAATCATTCTTGTTCTCGATCAAGCTCATGCTTTCTGTGTTGAAAAACTGAGTATGAAATCTTTGATTTCCTTATTGGCAGCTCTATCAATTGCAGTATTTCCATCTGCATCCTTGACATCGAAAGTAGCTCCGGCTCTCAACAGCTCTTCAATTTTTGCCTTGTCGCCTTCAGAGGCAGCAAGAATCAAGAGGATATCTACAGGGTGGATGTTCTGGTTCAATAGAGCCTCCATCTTATCGTAGGAACCCTCAACCGCAAGCATCCCCATGTAGTTAAAATACTGCAAAATACCACATAGCTATTTCAGTTGTGTAAATTAAGTTTGATATCTAAGAACAAATTAACTCAGCCTAAGATATTATACATTCATACTCGAATTTCACCCATTAATTAAAATTACACGCAGAAGAAATTCCATAAATATGAAGAAAAGAGAGATGGAAGAACCTGCTCAACATCATCTCTGTCAAAGTCATCCCTTGATTGGCTACCATAAATGCCAGCACCTTCAGCATCAACCGCATTTTTCCCAAACCTGAACCAGCATTTTGTTCTTGAACCGTTGGAGGGTCCGATTCTGGAGGGACCAATCCGTCGGAGACTGGTTCTGGTTCCAAGGAACTGTGAACTCAATTTAGGGGAAGGAGGAAGAGAATATGTGGGTTTTGAGGGGAAGGATATGTGAGTGGTACATGAGATTGAGGCCATGGCTGTTTGCTTCTATTGAAGAAGTAGCCATGAAAGTGGCTTTTATCCACTCTTTTTCTTTGGTGGAAGGAATAATCAAGTGTGCTGGTTTTCCATGAGAGAATCTGGGCGGTTAATGTATTAGACTATTTAAACAATTAAAAGGGTCATATTTGAAACCTTTGTAATGTTCAAGAACTAACCCTCTATGTGTAGAAAATAATTTAAAAAAATAATAGTAATATTTTTCTTTTAAAAAAAAAGGGTGGCTGGGGGGAGGAGGAAGGGGGGGACAGCCAGTAGAAGCAAACCATCCACAAAGGTTCCATACCTATAAAGCACTCAACTTGCCCACCGAGCCGCCCTACCCCATCCCCATTCACTCCCTTCCCGGTGAAGACAAGAAAAAGAAGACACCAGCTTTGTCTTTTTGCTCCGTATCATCATTTACTAATTAGTAGCCTGTATAATGCCGTATCAAGTTTCAATAATGGCTTCCACTATTTCCATGGTAGGATTCAAGCTATATCCCCACGGATTCTGTTGTGAGTCCCACAGACAGTATTTATTTATGTGGATGCAGCTAATCCTACATGAAAATTTCAACTAACCTTACCTTTCAATAACACATAATGCAACCTGCAATTTGCAGATATGATAGACCATTCAAACCAGATCAGCGGTAATCAAAATTTTGCAGGTAGTAACCTAACTGTTCAACAAACAACATGAAAATGGGATCCATGAGTTTAAAAGGGAGATGTAAGTAGTTAGAAACTTAAATGTTTTTAACTCCAAACACATGAATACTATGACCGAGTCCTTGGCTCCCCCAGTCTTCCAATATAATGATGTTCACTTTAGATAAAGAACATGAGATAAAGAATTCATGCGAAAAAACTGGGAACAAGGCCAATCACCGAATGCCCCGGGCTCAAAGCAATTGCCCCACCCAAACTAACAACCTCTCTTTATCTACAAGCCTCCTTGAACCCTGTAAACAAATCATGCACAAATCCTTCACCATTGCCACAAAAGTCCCAGAAGAAATGGCTGCACAGGTAGAGTACCCCCTTGTAGAAATAGGCACTACAGGCACCGTTGCATCCCTCATAATGCAAGAAATTGAGTACTTCCGCCGGCTGGAATTAAGTCACCGAGCTAGCTCCAAGAAGCCTCATTGCAATACCAGAGACACAGCATCCTCTAGCAGTCATTGCAGGCCAACTATTAGGTCTGCAGTAGCAAGTCAGAAGAAGAAAAAGAGGGGTGGGAGCAAGCTTCTACCAAGCATATGTTCTATGGTGGAAATTGCAGAGAACAGGCCAGTTGGGGTTTCAGGTTTTGGTTACAGAAGCCTGAAGTCTGATGAGAAGAAGTTGTAGGTTTAGATCATGCTCTCAGAGAGCTTAGAGAATCCAAGCTTTTTGAGTCGATTTGTGATGGGACTAGCCCAAGCTCTATCTGGATTGCCACACTTTATGTCTACAATTTCAACAATGTTTACTTTCTTGTCAGTTTTCTCTCTACTAGAAGTTCCATCCAAAGCTATATTGTCAGAACCAAGCATTGGAACTTGATGTGTATTTTTCAGGTTGCTTTTACTCTTCAGGGAATTTTGATTGCTTCTATCATTTTTTCTGTTGCTGCTGCCACTGGTGCTTGCTTCATCCAGTGACTTCCCCAGCTGCAACCTTCTAGGCGTGGCATGATTACAGGCAACTGATGCAGGAAGTGTTTCAGGCTTGTGTATGCAAGATACTGGTGTTTGTGGAGCTGATTGAATCAAATCCAGCTCCCTCGTCATTAGAGAACTGATAGTCCCAGTTGCCCCTATCTTGATGGATCCACCACCACCCTTGATAGGTTCTAGTTTTTGAACCATGTTTCTGCTTTACAGTTTCAAACAACCACTATTGTCTAATACAGTATCTTCAACCTTCAAAACCTGTCGAGAAATGAACTGCAATCAAAGCAGTGCAAGAGCAACAACCAATGCATCATGATGGAATAATAAAAATATTTTCAAATTCAAATGCAGCAAAACTGTTCATGTTAGAGTCAGTATTTCCTACAAAATCAACCATAGGCATGCAATTTAGATGTTCGTTGAAAGAACAACAAGACGGTTGTTCATTCAAGTCTTTAAAGCTATGTTCATTTTAGCAGCAGAGACTTAAAAAGAAAAAGGCAAATAAACCAGATCCTTCCTTGAAGCATTGAGAACACAATAGCTTTAGCAAAGTATACTTTACTTCATCCAAAGATTATATATCAAACAGACAGATTAGCAAAGAAAAGAAATCATAGGAAAAGGGGAACTTAAAAGGAAATGCTTGAAGAAGGGGAACTGAATGTTTGAAACTATTTTCTGTTTTCTCTTGTTGTCAATGGAGGATAAGTTCCACAAAATTTAAAGGAAAAGAGAAAATCCAGGAACAAAAAAGGGAAACCCTTTTGCAAGTGAAGGGTACAGAAAATTTCCAGCAGCCATTTAATAATGGTTAGTAACAACTAAAGAAAAATTTCACTAACTTCAACCAAATTGGATTAAAACGATAATTAGCTAATAACAGACTCAGTTTAAAAAAGAGTATTCAACGATGAGAATATGTTTTCCATTTTCTTTTGTTGTCAATTGAAAGATGAATTTACCCAAAAAGAAAGGGAAAATAAAAGGGAAAACCCATGAACAAAGACATAACATTTTTTTTTTTTTT